ATAGTCTTTAAGAAAAATAAATTAAGTAAATAAAATTATAGAAAAATGAAATATTATTTTAACAAATATGAATATTTTCTTTCTTAATGATAATTTTTCCTATACTTTATTATTTAAACTTTCTTTTATAAATTTATCATAATTTAAAACTATTTCATGAAAATTTTACTCATGATAAATATCAGTAATAATTAAAGTATAAAGTTTTTTATAATCTCAAAAACTTAACATTATTATTTATCATCTCATAAGTTTTAATAATATGAAAGGGTTTCTAAGAAAATCAGGTTTTGAGAAACTTTTAACTTAAATTAAAAGCTTAATACATTTTAATCTAATAACATTAAAAATTAAAATGTAATAAAAATCTCAATTTTGTTAAAAAATTTTTAGAACCTGATTTTTCTAACAATTAATCCATATAATAGATTAATTATAAATTAGTAAATTAATTGTAAATTTGAATATTATGAATTTACAAATATTGCAGAATTAATTTTTAAAATTTATAATCTTAAATTCATAAATATTTTATCTCTAGCATAATATATTTTATCTATAAAAAATAAGTTATCAGATTTGTTTAAAATAAAATAACTAAAATATAAAAAAATATACTTTTTTAGCCTTCATATTAATGCTTAATAATTTCTTATCAAAGATTTTATCATTTATTATTTTTAAAACCTTCAATTAACTGGTAATTTAAATCTAATAATATCTACAAATTTCAACAATAACAACTATCAATTTTATTCATAATCTCTTTTAATTTTAACAACTTACTTTAATAACAACCATTACTTCTAATTTTATTAATCACAATCATTTACAATTTTAACCAATTTCAACTAATTCCAATAATAATAACTGCTAATTTTAACAGCTTCTTCTTACAATTCCAATTTACAGCCCTTTTAATTCTCAACTCCATATCTTTAATTTGCAATTAATTTCAAAAAATAAAATGTTACTTTTTTATTTAATATTATGATATTTTTTTTAAAATATTACAATGCCTTCTTTTTTACTTTACAATGTTATTTCTTTTTTGTTTAAATTAATATTGTAAAATCATTTTACCAATTTATTGCATTTCTATTTTAAAATCACATTAAATGCATTCTTATTTTAGTTTTATTTTTTTAATATGATATCTACAAAAAAGTGTAACTCTTCAAAAATATGAGCTTTGTCTATATACTGATAAATACAAGTTGACTCAGACTCAATATATTAATACTGGTAAACTGGCAGAATATGCGATATGTAATAGCCTAATAGATACGATATATAAAGTCACGTGAGTTGAATATATGGAACGACAATCGATAAAAAAAAAAGAATGCATTGAAAAAAAGCTTTGGGAAAAAAAAAAGATTGTTATGATTGTAATACATAATCGTTGTTATTGAATTAAAAACCTTTTTCATTCAAAAAATGTGGTGTAATTAATAAAAATAGTGTGACTATATTTATGGTGATCTTCTTACGTAGGCCGTGATTAATTTAATAGTCAAACAAGTTCCGACGCACAACTGGTTTGTTTTAGAACTTTATAGAATGCAATTCATAAATACGAAACATTAAAGGGGTAGATTCTTTATTCTTATAATGCAATATTTATTTTATTCGTGAGAATTTTTTTTTTTCATACATTTGAAAACTTGATTCTTTTATTTGGGTTTAAGATTTCATTGATTAGATTTTATTTTTATTTTATTTTTATCGTTTGGGTTTCTCCTGAGTATTATTCATAAAAGGTCTTTTATTTGGGTTTCAGATTTCATTGATTAGCGGTATTTTCATTCCAATCATGCTTCTATGCGAAACCATCTCAATTTTATTTTACTTTATTATTTGTTTTGGGAATTGTCATAAAAGGAAATATCATAGACTCGGAAGATATTTTATCTATTACTCAAGTATGATTGGTTCGTATTGTTATTCTTCGTAAATCCTTTTCACTATTCTGAATTCTGTAGTTTGCTTTAAAGTAAGCCGAGTCTTTAAAGTCTAAATTTGTAAAGGATGGTCCATCAATTCCAAACGGTTTAACGTCTGTTCAAACATTTAATATCGATAACAGAAATGTTAACGATTGCAGTGAATATAATTTCAGCCACATATTTGCTGCGCAATACGCAGAAAAGCATCTCATGTTCGCGAAGAATAAAAATTAAAAAATTTAATGATATTTCTAACGTTAAGCATGTAGCATAATTTTTTTTTTTAAAAAATAAATGGTTAATCCGTTAAAGGATTTTAAAATGTTTCACCTATTATGGATTGTAAAATTCTATCTTGCAACATTTGAATAGAATTAATTCTTTATCAAAAAGTTGATCAAATCCGAGTTTCGCAGATCATCCGAATTTTATTTGGTCAATAAAATTATCAATTGCACGTTTAATTGCTGACTCGTTAAATTTTTTTTTTTTTTTTTTTTTTACATTTCACAAGCTTATCTGCGGATAATGATTAATGATTTAGGGACAATTCAAATGCATGTTATGTACCCATGAAAAAATTGGGAAAAACAAAAATGGTTCATTATCCTGATGATTCATGCAGTGCAAATATTCTAGCATATAAATGAAATAGTACATATCAAATGATGAGCATTGTGTAACTGTGTAACGTAATTCTCAAAATCTGATGGACGAGACCTGGTTTTATATGGTGAT